ATCTGAAAATGCTACTTGAAAGGGAATAAACCATTGGTTTCTCAGCAACAATAGCTTACCAAGATCTCGACTTCTTTGCTTCAGGTATATCTGGATTAATCAGAACTGTGCCTTTACCCAATGTTGACAATGATACACCTGAAATAGCAACACCAGGATTCAGGGTAACAATTTTTATTGTAAGATTAGTTTATTGCTTCTCAGAACAAGTGCTCTAACTTTAGATTACCTTGAAAATCACTAACTTTGAGTGATTTTATTGCAACTATAGGAGATTTATCAACAATGTCAAAACAATTCCTGGCCTACATTATTTGCAAGCTCATTCCACAAAGAAACCACCACTGTCTTCTTCCTGTCATCCAGAAATGTATAGCTTCAATAAACCATAACAAAACATATAGCAGTGAACAAGTGGACACTTATGTTTCATCTGCAACAGTCATATCCCAAGCATATAGCAGTGAACAAGTAGACACTTACGTTTCATCAGCAACAGTCATATCCCGCTTTGGAATACTCTCATTGTCAATCTTTCTTTTAATATTTGATACAGAAGTAACACTTTGAACAACTCCAATAATATCTGTAATTCAAAGCAATAAAAGCAACACTAAGTGAGCACTTAAAGGCCATAAAAAGACATAAATACCATGCTTATAAACTGCTAGGAAATAGTTCTTACCAACAAGTTCTTGTCCATTAACATAAGGGCCTAACTGATCTATAGGGACAAAGTTGAATTTAGTTTCAGGAATAAATGTTTCTTCATTAGCGGCCTCTTCAACGACAGAGTTCTCATTCAATGTCCTTTCATAATCATTTTGCACAGTCTTAAACTGCTTGTTTGCAACTTTAAGCATCCCTTTTGATATGTAATAGAACTTCCCCAGTTGAAACTTTTCATAGAATTTCCTAGCAGCTTCATTAAACATTGTGGCTTGTATTTGTGTACCCTACAACAGATCAATCGTTCAATCCATTAGAACCCATTTTTCTACAAGTTTAGAGGTTTCTTCACACACAAGTATAATAAAAACACAGGCTATAGCAGCTTACATCTTCACCTGTCAACTCAACATTGAAAAGACAACCTTCTCCTCTAGCATTCTTATAGGTACGCATATTTCCCTTGCTTGTGAGATGAACTTTAATCATCCAATTGTCTTGGTAAGGATTCAATGACACAAGAGGATGCACTCTTCTTGTCATTGCCATCCGTGCCACTGGAGCCACACTGAATTTCAGAAAAAATGCAAAACATTAATAAAGAAAACAACCAACTCTTAGGCGCTATAACAAATTAGATTGAACCTTAAACAGAAAAGGAAACTTACTTTTCTCGCTGTTCATATACTGTTTGAGCAGCAGATTTGGAAACCATTTCTTGCTTTGGCTTCAAAATAATACCGTCTCCTTCTGTTTTGGCCTCATTTTTTATCTCATTTTCGAGCTTTGGCTTCTTTAACACAATGTTAGATTCCTCAGTTTTGACTCCAGCTTTGATTACTTCTCAAGTGCAGGGGATACTGCCTAACATTTTGTTACAATTAAGTACCTGAAACCCGTTACCAATTTTGAACATCAAGAAACCATATCCTATTTCTTAAATTAAAAATCGGAGTGATTAGTATTTACTATTCTGATTTGTTGGAGATGTCATTGAGGGTATAATCGAGAATTCCGACAAGACCCTTGTTATGGATACTGCCTGAAATGATCTCAGATGACATGTTTGATGGAAGTATCGTTCTCACTTTCATCTTCCCATCACTAGCATTAAACCTTCAATCAAATATCAACCAAAATATCACTTTAATCTTTACATTTCCAATTGGAAAAACTTATCTGTATTTTACCGAAAGAAAATGCATCAATTTATTAAAATAAATATATGGATTTAACATCTCAAAACACATAATATCACAGGTCACACAAACTTATGAAGTAATTACTTACAGTACATCAGAATAAAAAAGAAAGAAAATTCAAGGCAGCCATTAGCAAGAAGAACTGAAAAACTCAGAACCCAGAATTCATTTGCCTATTACTTGAGTAAAATGAAAGTAGAGAGTAAGTAAACAGGATATATATAAGAATATACTAAGGCATACATGTAACGGTTGCCGGTGAGCTTCAGATCCAAAACCTGGACGATGATCTCAGGGTGATCTGAGGAAGAATCCGGAGATGGGTTCGCCAGTTTCGTCGATATCGCATCTTGGGTTATCGGCTTCGCTGTTTTTCTCTGTTTTTTTTGTTTGTGTTTGATCTCTGGGAAAGATTGGCGCTATGATATAAGTGAGCTTTTGTACCGGAGAATTTTGTAGGAAGTTTTGGAATTTTTTTTCTTTTTAAGTGAATTTCCCGCTACCATTGCGATCAAAAATTTTTTTTTTAATTTTTTATAATATTTTCACCAGGAGTTATTATTTCTCGTTTTGGGGCTTTTATTTTGGGTTTTGAACTATGTGGGCTGACGGCAAACGTGTTCGGCTCGCTCGAAAGTAGAATGGTGCTATCTGCACTCCATGTTATTATCTTCGTACTCCATTATTGTTAATATTCTTTTTTTTTTTTTTCATGCTCTAAACTAAAACACAAATTTATTAAAAAATTCAAACACCTCCTTCTCTCCTGTCACCCCTCTTTAACCGAAACCCTATGAGAATTAAATCCCAAATCAAGTCTCATTTTATTTTAAATAACTTAAAATCAAAAGTAAATTATTTTTTTATTTTTTATTTGATTTTGTGTTTAATTTTTAAAAATTTAAGATTTTAAAATTTTAAGTGCGATTTGAGGTTTAATTCAAATATTCTAAAAATTTATTTTCGAAAATTATCAAAATTTTTTAAAATTAATATCCAAAAACTTTTTTAATATTTCAAAAATTCATTTTTAGAAAATTTTTAAAGTTTTCATACATCTCTTTCAAAAAATTTTAAAGAAATTTCAAAAATATATTTTAAAAATATTTTAATAGTTTTCGAACATTTATTTCTGAAATTCATATTTATTTTCAAAAACCATAAAAAACTTTCAAAAATAGATTTTTGATACTCAATAACTTTTGGTCACCAAGCATTTATCTCATTATATCATCAATAGATTGACAAATTCACTAATAAAAATCTCTAATCTTTCTATTATGAGATATTATTTGCTAAATAATATTTGCAATCTCTTTACAATTTTGACATATATGTATATGAGAGGACTCACTAGATGTAATGAGGTACTCATACAAATTAGTTGATGTACCATGTGTAATGAAGCATAACTACTTTGTCACACATAGTGTAATAATCACTTACACGAAATAATTTTCATAATTAACGATTTCTTTCATATTCACGTTTGTTAAAATTGAATAAATGTTACAAATATCATTAAACGAATAATATATGATCGAAAGATTAAGGGTTCTATCGTATAATTTAAATATTTTATACGTCAAAAAAATAATTATGGACCCATTTGAAGATCGTAATAAAAGACATCCGATATTTTCATATTAGAGATATTGCAACAAAGAAACTTAACTAAAAAATTATTTCCAAAAATATATTCAAATAATTGCAATGCTTTCCAAAATTGCATTTCTAGTAAAGTTAAGAATTTTTTGGAAATTAAATTTTGTTATATTGAAAATAATTTCAAAATTTTATCTTTGATAACTTACTGAAAATGAATGTAAAAGGTTAGAAAATAATTAACTAACGAGTATTCAAGTAATTTTTTTAAAGATTAATTTTTAGGGGTGTATTGAGAGTTTTTGAAAAATATTTTTAATTACCCTTTTACCCATATGTTAAGAAGAGACTAATTACAATAAACTTACAATAGAAAAAACAGCCATTATGAAATTTCACCTTCGTTAACACTTTTTTTTTTAAAGATTTTTTTTTCCTTTTTAACAAAAAAATAAAAAAGATTGGCAAACTATAAACAATGCTTCATAGGTATCGTACATTCATGTAATTAATTTAAAGTTTATTTGTTGGTATGATAAAAAAGATTTCCACAGCATCGCAATGTCGATCCTGAAGGATTCTACATGAAATTTCTTTAACCACTTTATTAAAATGAATCATTAAAATTTTAACGTCTTTAATTATGCATACATGCAACGCTTCGGACAGAGACATTTGTTATAAGCAAGTATGAATCTTTCATAACATACATGTTTTGGATAAAGTAAAGGAATATGCTGTTCTTTTTGTTTTTTTTTTTTTTGAAGTTGTTTAAAATTTATCTCTGGTGGCTATAGTTTAATCCAACATTTTACCAACTAATGTAACTAAAAACATTGATATAACTTTCAGATTAACTGAAAGTTCAAATTTTGTGTTATCCTAAATTAAGATAATAACAGTTTGGATTAGATTAAATTTTATTTGATTTTTTTTGAATATTACATAATATTATAAAATTTTAAAATTTAATCTGAATTCAAATTAAATTTTACCTATTCGATTCGATTTACCATTTATTTAATTTTTTATATATTATTTTAATATATTTAAATAAATTATAATCTAAAATTATTATTTTTATTTTATAAAAATTAATAAAAATATATAATTTAATTCGATTATTTTTAAAAATTTTTCACTTCCCATATGAAATTCATTTCGAACTTAGTATAAACATTTAATATTCGAATTTAATTATAACTAAATAAAAAAATTGATCCAAATCAAATTAAATATTACAATTTGAAATTAATTTTTAATTTTTTCGGTTTTTTATCTTACCCTTACCCTAAACTAGGATTCCTGTCTTTGGAAAGCGTTCTGATACCAGCAGCATGACAAATTTTTGGCTGGAGATATTATTGACATTGGCCTCCATTAACATCTTTTCTTTGTAATTTTGGCCTATCAATGCCGAAAAGATTCAAAACATCTTACAAATTACTCCAATAGTCCAATTAAGACAAATGTATCTTGTTTTTTTTTTTTTTTTTCACTCAATGGAGCATGTAATAAGTTTTGGACTAACCAACAACAGGAAGAAAAACTGCAAAGCTACACAAAAGACAGTGAAAAGTAGCCCAAACTTGAACTAACAGGGAATCCATGGTGCTTGAAACCACAGATGCCTTTTGAATCATTCCATTGCGGTGTCTGTCAAAAGCAGAATGGGCAACAAGAGAAGCAAGAGAACCATCTTTTTTTACCTGCATTTTGTGTTGCTTTAGGTGTCTGAGACTTTGCGGTCTCCGGCTTAGGGGTTCCCGGAGGGCTCTGTGGCTTAGGGGTTTCTGGAAGGGTCTCTGAAGTTGCTTTAGGGGTGGAGGGCCGTGACAGTTGGTTTTTAATCTTTGTACTTTTATCTGCATCTCCTGTCAATCTTCATCATAAGAAAAAAAAAAAAAAAAGAATAAATCAGTCTGTTGCTGACTATGATACCTAGTATTCAAAATATTCAAATGAATTAACCACAAGAAACTAATTAATCAGCAAAAGAATTCACTTGTGTAAATAGTAGATAAATGGCATGTTCTTGAATAGTTTCGTTTGGTTGGTACTTTTGCTATTTGTTTTTTGCTAGCGAAAAATAAAAACACGAATCAATCGGAACCTTAGTTGTTAGGTTGAGAAGTGAGATTAATAAAGCTTACATAGGGAAGGCAAAAGATTTGACACTTGCATCTGAATGCTGAGAAATACTACGGTAATGAGGTGATTCCTTGGCAATATTTTCCTTCTGCTGAGATTCTTTCTCCATCAAAACCTCCCTCATTGTTTCAGCTGCTGCTGCTTCAGTTACACCATACCGGCCTTCATTCAAGTTACCACTTTTATTAGTAATTTCAGTTGAGTTTTTGGTTGGTGTCTGGCAATTACTTGGAATGTCTGCCAATGGACCAGAAAGGGTGTAATCAATGGTGTAACCAAGCTCACCCGATTTCGTTATACAACGTAACTGGTCTGCACTGAAACTCGTGTTCCCCATGTGAATGCTAAACAATGATTCGTTGGAAGCAACACTCCATTCCGTGGGGCCTGCAGTACTTGTTCTAGAAAAGATATGAGCTGGAATCCTATCTGAAGCTCCGGAAGGGAGGCCTCCAGCAGGTTGTTCCGTGGCCTGTGTTGGAGAAATTGGTGTGGCTGAACCATCACTGGTTTGTCCGCTGTTCAGCATAGAGTTAACGCCTGCATTCGATGTACTGGTTCCATGTGAACCCAATTGGACGGCTTCACCAGTAGAAGAAGATGAATGAGAGGGGGATCTCAACTTTTTGCCTGGAGAAACATGACTATTTTCACTAGGAGTAGCTACTTGGTGCGTCTGTTCATCACTGCCAATATCGGTACCACTCACATTTCCAGATTCCATAACTGAAATGTTTGAGATATCATGTACTCTCTAGTCCTATACCACCTCAAGACCCTGGAATTCATGCTGTATATGAAACAAGAAACAAAATCAGACTTCCAATCTATGACATGTTTTGATGGGGCAAAACAATAAAAGAATGCTGGACAGGAACAAACTTTGCAAAATTTCCAGATAGAATTTCTAGCAGGGCACCTTAGGCTACCTACAATTATTTATTCTTATTTCTTAAGGCTTAAACCAAAGTTTCCAATTTCCTTCCAGGTAATGAAATTAGCATACCATGACAATAAAAGAAAAAAAAAACATAATTTCAGGGACCAAAAATTTTCATCAGATTTTCAATGGAACTTGCCTGGTCGATCTAATTGAATTCAAAATCACCTTAAGAAACAAGTAGGATAATAAATCAAATTAAAAGAACAAAAAAATGAGATGAATAAAACCAATCGGAATTTACATAAAAGCCAACAACCTTCAATTAATCCCAAGCAAAACTTCTGATCCATCCACTAAACAGGTACCTTCTTCGATTTCGTATCCACCAACAGAGTAACAGAGAAACCAAAAAAAAAAAAAAAGACACCAGACATGCAACAGGAAAAACCAAAGAGAGATGGGAGAGAGAAGATGTTGGATGAGAATGGATACGGATTGAGAGGGAATTTTTAAGGCCTGGCATTGGTATAGGCACTTGTTTCTCTGTTTTATCTATAGTAAAGTAATAACCAACTTTTTAACGACCTTACCCGCCATGTTTCAAATAACTAATTCTTCAAAACTAATAATATTTATATTGATATATTATATTAAATTCAAATCTCCATCCTTAAAATCAGTTTGAAAATAAATTTCATTGCTCAAAAATCAATGGGAACTTTAGATTAAAAAGCATTCACGTCACAGTCGTGGACTTGTGTAAATTATGTTGCATTTTCCTTTGAAAGTTAAAGAAAAAAACAAAAGCTTTTCTATTTTCTTTTTTTTTTTTTTCCAAATTTCTATTTTCATTTACAAAGTCAAGGTTGTATATTCAAGCACATTGTCAAGGTAAATACTAAGTAGAGAAATTAAAAAATTTACAATAAAAACAAAAAAAAAAGAGTTTATTAATTTCTAATTTACGGTACCATTTTTAACTAAATAAAAATAAAAATAAATAAAAATGCTCCTCACCAGGTGAAATTGATGATTATTCCTATCTAAAAAGTCATAATTATCAACGGTTAATGGTCCTTTCTCCTACATCCCCTGGTCAAATGAAAAAAACCCTGCAAAATTTAGCGAGCCTTATCAAAATCCCAAATCAAAATAAGCTGGAAAACCCGCAAAAAACTGCTCCAAGATTCAAACTTGATCCCAAATTTGACTACCCAAATGGCTCAAAACCAAAGACCAACAACCTTCCTTGATTCATTTGGAGAAGAAATCATCAGAATCCTAACCCCTGTTTCAATATGCATGTTTTTGGTTGTCCTTCTGGTTTCTATTCTCAACTCAAATTCTTCAGCTTCAGTAACATCAATTGCAACCATAGCTTACTCAGAAACCAGCTCAGATTCATCCTGGGACAAATTCCTAGGTGCCCTTTTGAATTCTTTAGCTTTTGTAGCTGTTGTCACTGTTGCTACCTTTATTTTGGTGCTCCTTTTTTACCTTAGATGCACTAAGTTCTTGAAAATATATATGGGTTTTTCTTCTTTTGTGGTTTTGGGATTTATGGGTGGTGAAATTGCCTTGTTTTTTATTGAGGAATTTAGTGTTCCTATTGACTGTATTTCCTATTTAGTGGTTCTGTTTAATTTTGCTGTTGTTGGTGTTTTGGCTGTGTTTATGTCCAAAATGGCAATTCTTGTGACACAAGGGTACTTGGTTTTGATTGGAATGTTCGTTGCTTATTGGTTTACTCTTTTGCCCGAATGGACTACTTGGGTGTTATTGGTTGTTATGGCATTGTATGATCTTGCTGCGGTTTTGTTGCCTGTTGGGCCTTTAAGGCTTCTCGTGGAGCTTGCTATGTCTAGGGATGAAGATATCCCGGCTTTGGTTTATGAGGCTAGGCCTGTTACTCATCATGATTCTGGTTCAGGGGAGAATACAGTTCGAAGGAGAGTTTGGAGAGAAAGGAGAAATGTTAGACATGATTCGGAGGATAATTCAAATTTGGATGGCAATGTTGTTTCTGATTCGAACTCTACTGTTGTTGCTGTTCAGCACTGCCATAATGGCTCAATAATTGCTAGAGTGGAAGAGGGGCAGGTTTCAGAAGGGAATGCTGAGCTTTCTGCACCATTAATTGATCACAGAATGAATGGTCAAGACGGTATGTCAACTGAAAGCTTGGTGCTAGAGGGTATGGGTTTGGGTTCTTCCGGGGCTATCAAGCTTGGATTGGGGGACTTTATCTTCTACAGCGTGCTAGTCGGTAGAGCAGCAATGTATGATTTTATGACAGTGTACGCATGTTATCTTGCTATTGTAGCTGGTTTGGGCATTACACTGATGTTATTGGCATTTTATCAGAAAGCTCTACCTGCTCTTCCTGTGTCAATAGCACTAGGTGTGTTGTTTTATTTCTTAACAAGGTTCCTACTTGAAGTTTTCATTGTACAATGTTCTTTGAATCTTGTGATGTTTTAAAATATAATTATTTCATGCTTAAGTTATAGAATATGGCTCACTGAATTCATGACCAATTCTGTGACTTCGCTGAAGTCTTTAAGAAGCTATACGTCAATTCTGTTAATCTATCTATGGAAGCCCTGTGTTTGAAGTTGAAACCTTGAGTGAGTGATCTAATTAAATTATTCGAAGAAATGAAAATGAATTGCTGTATGTTTACCAAAAAGAGAACCAAATTTAGTACTAAGGTGGGAAGCAACTTTGCGATTTGGGAAGCATCCATGGAAAATGCCATGGAAGCAAAAAAAAAAAAAAAAAAAAGAGTTGAGAGGACAAACTTAGGAAACAAGACTTGGTGGTCCTGAAACTTGAAAGTGAAATTGAATCAATCTAAGGAGGTATTTCAATTTTCAAAAGGCACTTTAGAACATAATTGAATGTTGGCAGAAGATTGGATTTGAAGTGGACAAGGAGTTTTTATTCATGAAGTTTCTGCACCTTGGTAGGTTCTTCTTTTGTCCTAGGAGTTGTTAGCGGTTATTCTCTAGAGCTTCACTTTTGCAACTGCTATTTGGTAAGCATATAGATAAAGGCTCTTTGGTTCTTAATAATTGGATCCCTCACTTCTCCTCATTAAAAGTGATTTTAACTTTTTTTCCCATATAAGTGAACATATTTTTTTTTGCTATAGCTGGCTTCAGCTACATGCTACTGTTCATGTTGATTTTGTCCTATATTTTGGTGCTACATTTTGCTAATGGTATTTAAAAAGATATTAAAGACATTTAACACTTAATGCTTTTAGGCTTCCATCTAATGTCGGCATCTTCCGATTGTTTTTCGTCTTCAGAGGGTGTGGGCAGATGTAAACGAACAAAACATTCAACTAAGACTTTGTGAACAAGTTTCATTTCTATTCGTCCGTTAAATTTAATAAATAATCACAAATAATATTTTAAGATTCGTTAATTAAATATACAGATTACGAAAATAGTAAACTGTTAAAATCAGATCAAATACGTTTACATTATTATCAGAAGTAGACCTTTCATGAATCATAAATATGAATCATAATCATCCAAAGAGCAAGAATCAGATATGTTGCATAACCCAATGAATAAACTATAATTAGATCTCTAATTTGTGAAGATGGTAAGAGGCAAAATAAGAAACTCCATAACGGGATTGCAGTAGCGTAGGAGGAAAAGTAATCACCATTGTACTGCACCTACACATCTCAAATGCAGAAGCAACTGTTATCCTTTAACAGTCGTATGCAAATTTAAGTGCTTTCTACAAGTTTGTTGTGGCTGGAAGGAAACTCCATTAGGATGCACCTAACACCAAACCCTTACATTCGCACATGCACATTAATACCTTCAATTTTCAATGCAACTGTCCTTTCTTAACAATGGAAACAACATGCCTCTTTTTCAACTGTTTTAATCTGGATCAAATGCTCATCAGCATCATCAGCTGCTTTTACTCTTCATTAAACCTGGGGCAACTAAGTGGGGCATCAATGGCATCCCAGCTAAATTTAAAAGCAGTCATGAACAGTAGGGCAGTCTCAGAATCTGTGGCTTACAGACGTGTATATGTACTATGTAGAAAGGATACTCACATCTTAGACCATAAGCAGGAAAATACTGCCAACCCTCGAAACAATAACAATCCTAACACAATAATGAACCTAGAGAATAAGCAGGATCATACGCATAGAATTGAGTTTATCAGAAAAGTATTGATTAACAATTGCAGGATAGCTAAGCATGTTATTTCACGCCAAGAGAAACACAGGCACAACCATTTTTATGCAATCATAGACCGAATTGTGGGGTATTACAACAGGAGAAACAGAAATTTTGAAAGTTGACATTTTAATTACAATCATATTTACATCTATGACAATCAAGACTGGATCAGGAAAAGAGATTATTGAAAAAGGAAGAGAGTGAGAAAGGAAAAAAATGGCTGAAACTTAAAACCTTAAGTTTTCACCATTTGCGCGAATTGCGCAATGATCTTGGCGACCCTTCAAAAAGGTCCAAGAGCAATTTTTCCACATCTTCTACAGTATATTTAACACATTTGTCAACAATATGAGTAGGGTTTCTACCGAGAAATGTTCGATATGCATGGACTACTTTAAGTGAAGTTGAAATTCGCAAATCTTCACGAAGCTGAGGATCTGGGATGCACCAACTTGTCTGGCTTTTGTATACCTCCTCAAAAGCAACACTAAAGCCCTTGCACCTTTCTTTGAAAGTGGATTTTGACATTGAACTTGAACCTGGGTTATCATCCTTGAGCAAAGAAACGACTGAACTCCAAGTTGCTCTCTCATAGTTCATTGCATGCTGCTGAAACTTTGCATTATGCTTACGAATCCATTCATCTCCAAAGAAGTGTCTAAGTTCAGAACCCTTAACCTTTTTAACCATGTAATGGATGTTGTTCGTCAAAAAAATATGCCGTAAAGCCTCATCCTTGTAAAGTTTTGATTTCTTATGAAGACTGGACTCCAAAGAACTTGTGATTGATCGAAGGTGACAAGCCATTGGACAAGTGGAAAGAGACACGTTCTGCCCATAATCTGGCTTAGTAACTGGATTTGCAACATCTGCATGTTGGTCCTTGAGAAGCAAATTGAGGGTGTTGCAATATTCAGGGAACATCCCAATGTAATTCATGACATATTTATTGAGAGGATGAACTGAACCTCCGGGGAAGGGATATAACGATTCATTTGAAGAAATAGCAACTCCAAATGCCTTGAATGCTGCTGTTGCAGAATCACCCAATCTCTCCAGAAGCTCACGGAACTTAATCCGAACAGAAGAACCAGCCTCATCTGAGAACAATGCATCTATGTCCAGGAGAAGATCTGTCAAAGTCTCATACATGTCAAGCAAGCGAAGCAGCCTTTCAGGTTGATGAGGCCCCATTGCTATGGCTTCACCAAAGTTCAAGAGGCAAAGAATCGTTGCCTTTGAGATCTCAAGAAAGCAAAATAAATTAAAAGATCCAAAGTCCCCTAAGACCTGGTTACATAACCGTTTTTCACTAGCAAGATAGACCCTAAAGATGATCTTCATTGAACGAGTCCACTTATTCATCTTGCTACTCATGCTGGTCCACTCCATTTTCAACACATCCTCTATGCTCAGTTTTCCCATTCCAAGAATGGAAAGATACTGCTCCAATGCTTCTTTCCGTACACCAATGAAAGATTCGCAAAATTCCTGACGATAATCTGAAGTAAACATAACCTTTGCAATGGACTTGATATCAGGAATTACATGTGCATGGATCAAATCTACAATATATTCATCACTTTCATCGCTACTGCAGTTTCTGCAGGATGTTTCCTCAGTTAGTTCATCCTCAACTGAAACAAATGACTCATCATAAACAACACCCCTTCGAGTAGAGTGAGAAGACAGGTATTTGGACTCGACCTGTTGCCTATGCTGAACAAGTATATGAATAAGCTCTTTCTCGAGCCTCGACATTGCCATCTGCAAAACACTCTCTGCATGTTGAAGAAGTTCCTTCTGCTTCCTATTTCCTTTCACAGATAAGCCTTGTAAACCGTCAATCAGTGTCTGAATTTCATCCACAGCTTCTAGATACTCGGAAGCTTTACTTGGTCCAGAATCCCATATCATCATTCGATCCGATTCCCAACTCACAATCTTTCTCTCTGCTTGTTTGAGTCGCTCCTCAACATCAACAAATCCCGTTCCTCCCTTGATGTCTATATTCGAAGTTATCTTCGACAAATGGGCATCAAGATCGATAAGGATTTTCCTCAAATCATCACTAAGATTCTTAGTTGTTCCTAGTGCCTTGACAATATGATGAGCAGCAGCAACAACATGAAGATCTCCTTCATTTGTTGGGATGGCAGATCGAAATTCTTCCATATCAATACACAACGAACAGAACAAAATCAATCAAGTATTCGACTTAACACCAACTAACTTCTCAAGCAATCAAGCCAAGCCTTCCTATATAGAACCTAAACCATCTACTTGCCAAAACCGTGATTTGGATTCAATAAATCCCAGACGCGACCAAGAACAGATCAAGACAATTGAATGCTTTCCAATTCGAAGATATCAATCAAACAGGTTAAAAGCTTGATAACTCCCCACCCCAGCTAAAGCAAAAGTGATTCAGATGGTCCTCTCAGCACATATGGGAAGCTTTGTTTCTCCAACTTACCCGCAATGCCAGGAATATAAAAGATTGAAAGACAGAAAAAAAAATGAAGCTTGAAACAGCTGGAATCCATCAACTGAAAATGACTTGATCATCAAATTAACCAAAATTCCAAAACTTTTAATCTTTTAAAACACATTGAAACATAAAACAAACTTTAAATCAAAAAACCCATACTCGAAAATTGGCAAAAAAAATCAATTTTGCATTTCCACAAACTTAAAATAAAAATCTACAAAAACCCATAAACAAAAAAGTTTTAATCTCAAAGATCACATGAAAATAGTTCCCAAAAAATCATTTAAAAAAACCCATCAAACCTCAAAACTTGCTTTTATTGATATCGTCGAACTCAAGCATCAAGTCAGAAAAAGAAAGTCAAACGAACATCAAATTCTCAAAAGAGAAACAGAACAACAATTTCTGGGCAGAAGAATTTTGCCCAAAAAAAACAAAACTTGAAAGAGAAACTGAATAAAAGTGGTAGGTGTTCAAGGTATCCAATGAGGAAAACAAAGAGAAAATAGAAACTTGCGGGTTGGGTTTTGAAAGAGACTAGAGATATAGTAAATTTCGTGGGAAAATACGGTAGGGGGATTTTGTTTTTCTGTATTCTGTAATTTTTAATTTAATTATTACATTTTTTTTTTCTGGAGGAGTTGAATTTTGGACATTAAAGTCGTGGGTTTGACTTCTACTTACATAACACTGTCTTGCTTTTGACCATGTACCGGACGGCAGCGCTCCTAACCAATTACGTTATGCCACATCATCCTTCGCTAGTTTGTTAGGTACTTCTTTACAAAGTTGTTAAAACGCTTAATGTGGATTTTATTAATTTTTAATATAGTTTGTTGTTCAAAATAATTTTTATCGTATTTTTTTATTAAATTTTTTTCAACCACATGTTAAATTAAGCCTTAAACTTATATTTAGGTGATTTGGGAGGCTTTAATGAAAAGGAATAATGCAAACTTTTAAATTGGTTTAAATTTTAAATTTTAGTTTTTAAATAAATATGTAATAAAATTTATGTTAAACATTAATTATAATAAAATAAATAAATAACAAAATAAAGTTTAAAAATATTTATTTTATTATTTTAATTTGATATTTGTATGTGATTGATATAAATAAATATAAAATATTAATGTGCACACATATTATTTATTTATTTATTTATATATAATTATAAATATAAAATACATATAATTACAAGTTGAATTTTAAAAATTATGTCTAATGTCTAACCCATTTAAAAAATAAACTTTTAATTTAATTTCAAAGTCATTTAAGGACAAGTCAAAATTTTTTTGTTTTGTCATTCATATTTATTGATTTTATTGTTAAAAAATATACTTAATTTAAAAAAAATGACAAAACTTAAAAAAAATGTGAGGGTGATATAGATATTTAAACTAGTCTATTATCTTGATGTGATTTAATCTAGATTTTTTATAAAAATTTTATATCAAATTGAGATAGATAAAAATATATTCGATATTAATTATTTTATTGTTTTTATTAATTAATTTATTTTGTTGTAAAATTAATTTAATTAAAAAATTTTAAAAATAATATAAAATTTGAGTGTGATACTAACACATTGCTAATATTTTTTAAAAATATTATCAAATTAAAAATATATACATGCATTTTAAATAATCAAATCAAATGACTTCATATTAAAAAATTTGTAAACATATTTTTAAAATATGAAATCATTTAAAAAATAAAAAATAAGAAAAAAAATCAATTGACTTAACAGGTGTCAAATGACGTACTATTGATATTAAGAGAATTTTTAAAAAATATAAAAATATTTATTAAATATATTAAAAAATAAAGAAAAAATAAAAAAAATACGTGACAAACTATTAATATCAATTGGATTCATATAAAAACTAAAATATTAAAAAAATTTATTAAATACTTTTTCAAAATTTAAAAGGATAAAAAAGAAAAATCAAAAAGAAATTTTGGTATAATTGAGTCTCAAACACAAAAAATAAAAATATATTTATGTAATTTTTAAAAATATTTATAAACTAATTTTTTTAAAAAATTTAAAACCCAAAAAATAAGAAAAATTTAAAAAACCTGAAATTGACTTGCGATAACCTAAAATAATAGCATTGTTGAGCACATATTACTTAAGTGCGTCACAAAAAGATGTTCAAAAAACTCTTTATTAAATATATTTTTAAAAATATTCATCACTTTCATCGCAACTGTAATTTCTGTGAATTACGTTATGCCACGTCATGTTCGCTTGTTTGTTAGGTAATTTTTTACAACGTTGTCAAAACACATATTATTATAAATTTTATTATTTTTTAGGATAGTTTGTTACGCAAAGTTTAAGAAATTTTAAACTATAATTTTTTACAATAATTTTTATCATAATTTTTATTGAATTTTTTTAACTACAATAACAATGTTATATTAAGCCTTAAAATTTAATATAGCATATGAACATTTAGTTGATTTGGATTTAATCTGAGGTTCGACTTTAATGAAAAAAAGTAATGCAAACCTTCAAATTCATTCAAATTATAAATTTTATTTTTCAAAAAAATATGAAATAAAATTTATGTTAAACGAGAATTATAATAAAATAAAGAACTAACAAAATAAAGTTTAAAAATGTTGATTTTATTAATTTAATTTGATATTTGTATGTTATTGATATAAATAAATATAAAATATTAATGTGCACACATATTTATTTATTATAATATAATTATTGATATAAAATACATATAATTACAAGTTAAATTTTAAATATTATGTCTATAACCTAACTCATTTAAAGTTATATGGATGTAATAGTTAATTATATGAATGTAATTCTTGATTATAAGTGTAACTTGAGAAAAAGAAAATTCAAAGCGTACCTTAATCATCAATTTTTACCATTTACAATTACTAATTAGGTGAGTACCCGTGTTGCCATGGATTAAATTTTTTTTTACCATTAATATTTACCTTTTTATTATTGAAAAATATACTTAATTTTTTAAGAAAATGAAAAAATGACAATGTAAAAAAAAAAAAAAAAAGGTTAGGGTGACATGCAAATATTTAAATTTACCTATTATATTGAATTGATGTAATATTAAATTTTTCAAAAAATGTTCATATTGAATCAAAATGGATAAAAATTTATCTGATATTAATTGTTTTATCATTTTTATTGATCAATTGATTTTTTTGTAAAATTGATTTATAAAATTGATTTAACTTACAAAGATTGAAAATGAAAAATAATATCAAAGTAGAGTGTGATATCAACACACCTGCTAATTTTTCTCTTTTAAAATCATTAAATAAAAATATATATATATATATTTTAAATAATCATATCAAATGACTCCATATTAAAGAAAATTTTAAATATATATATTTTTAAAATATGAAATAATTAAAAATAAAAGCAAAAAATAAAAGCAAAAAACGAAAAAAAAAATCAATTAACTTAACATGTGCCAAATTGACATATTTATTGATATTAAGTGAATTTTTAAAAAAATATATAAAAAATTATTTTATTAAATATTTTAAAATGAAAAAGTAAAGAAAAAAAAGCATGTGACAAACTATTATTGGATTTGACATAAACACCAAAATCTTGCAAAAAATTTATTAAATATTTTTATCAAATTTAAAAAAGAAAAAAGTAAAAAAAAAAAAGGTAAAAAAAATGGTATAATTGAGTCTCAAACATAAAAAATTAAAATATTCAAAAATATATATTTTTTAATTTTTAAAATATTTTAAAATAATTTAAAAGAAAAAAAGTGTAAAACTAAAAAAATAAAGAAAAAATGAAGAAAACTAAAAAAAAAACCCGAAAATGAGACGAGATGACCCATGAGAATAGTAGTATTGACTGTACATTATTCAATTGTGTTGTAAAAAAATCTTCAAAAAATCTTTATTAAACATTTCTATTAAAAAGAATAAAAGTAAAGGAGAGTAAAAAGGAAAAATAAAAAAAAATTGGTATAAATGAATTCTACACATAAAAAATACATTATTTATAATTTTAAAAAAATTAAAAAAATTAAAAAAAAAGAAAAAACAAACATGTAACATACAATTGATATTAAGTGGTTTACAAAAAAAAAAAAATTTAAAATTCTTTACTCAAATTTTTAAATAAAAATAAAGAAAAAAAAGTTAAAAAAGGTAAAAAAACCAAAAAAAAATTGATATAAGTTGGTCTCAAATATAAAAAAAATAAAATATTTAAAAATATATATTTTATAATGTTTTAAAAATATTTATTAAAAAATTTAAAAAAAAAAACAAAAAAAAAACCCAGAAATGACAGTGGTAGTCAAAAGAAATGAAACTGTTAGCCTCACATCACTAAAACATATAAAAAAATATATAAATAATTTGAATAATTTTTATTTAAAAAAAGAAAATCTGAAAAAATAAAAAATAGAAAAGAAAAAAAATCGGTATAAGTGGGTCATACACATAAAATACAATCTTTAAATATATAATTTTAGAAAAATTTTAATTTTTTAAAAAGAAAAAAAAAAACAAAACAAGAAAAACATTAAAAAATCAATAAGCACTGTATGCTGTACATTACCAAATTTTAAGTTATGGATAAGGCAAAAACTATTTATTATAAAAAGAACAAATTGGAAACTCCAGCCTCCAACTGGTATCAACGCGAAAAACACAGACCAATAAAAAATTCACATGTGTACATTAATTTAGTTAAAATATCCGGATTTTAGACTCCGCATCGTCTACAAAAACTCCTAGGGTTTTACTCTAAAAAACGAACTTGGAAAGAAAAATAAAGAATCCCAGTCTTTCAGTCTCATTAGTAGTCCTATAAACGAAAGGGTAGGCAACGAAAAACCCTAAACTTTTTATATAACCTTATTCTATATTATTAAATAATTTAAAAGAAAAAAAATGTAAAACCCAAGAAAAAAAAAAGAAAAAAACCTGAAAATGACACGAGATGACCTAAGAGAATAGTACTATTGATCATACATTACTCAAGTTCATAAAAAAATCTTCAAAAAATCTTTATTAAATATTAAAAAAAAAAAGGTAAAAAGAAAAATTTTTTAAAATTAGATATAAGTGGATTTTACATATAAAAAATATATTATTTATAGTTTTATAAAATTAAAAAAAAAGAAAAATAAATAAATAAATGTCACGTACATTTAGTATCAAGTGGTTTTACAAAAAAATAAACTATAAAAAACTCTTTATTCAATTTTTTAAATAAAAATAAAGAAAAAGTAAAAAAGGGTTAAAACAAAAATTTTGATATAAGTTATTCTCAAACATAAAAAATAAAATATTTAAAAATATTTATTTATAATGTTTTAAAAATATTTATTAAAGAATTAAAAAAAAAAGCAAAGAAACCAAAAAAAAATGGAAAAAAGGAAGCCCCGACAATAATACTGATAATCAAAGGAAATGGAACTGTTAGCCGCACATCACTTAAGCGTGTTAAAAAAAAAAAATCTGAATATTTTTTTATGTAAAAAAGGAAAATCGAAAAAGGATAAAAGGAAATACAATCTTTAAATAAATATTTTTTATAATTTTGAAAAATTTTAATTTTTAAAAGAAAAAAATAAAAATAAAAAATTATAAACAATTGACACGTGACCGCTTAAAACATTACCAAAATTTAAATTATAAATAAGATACTAACTATTTATTACAAAAAAATTAACACGTGACCGCGTAAAATAAGCATTGCACCGTATATTACCAAAATTTAAATTATAGATATAGCAATAACTATTTATTATAAAAAAAATTAACATGTCACCTTTTAAAATAAGTACTGTGCGTTGTATATTACCAAAATTTAAATTATGGATAAGGAAATAATTATTTATTATAAAAAGAAAAAATTGGAAAACTCCCATATTTTTAACTGTTATCAACGCGAAAAACACAGACCAATAAAAAATTTACACGTGTACATTAGTAAAGTTAAATTATCTGCATTCTGAACTCCGCATCGTCTACAAAAGCCCCGAGGGTTTTACTCTGAGAAGTGAACCTGAAAGGAAAAATAAGGAGTCCCAGTCTCTCAGTCTTATTAGTAAGTCCTATAAACAAAAGGGTAGGCAATGGAAAAGCCCTAAACTTTTTATATACCCTTAATCTCTATTTCATTTTTCATTTTGATCTGCTGGTTTGGCTGTTCATTTGTTTATTTTTGTTTCAAAGGGTCACTGCGTCGTTAAAGGTGTTTCCTTTTTGTAATTTTCTTATAGCATTATATTCATGTTTCGATGTTTCATATTAGTATCTTATAATTTGCTTGGATTTTCCTGTTTGGTTCCTTAAGATCAATGGAGAATTGAATTTTTGGGAATGATTAAAAAAGAATCGTTTTTTTTTAGAAAATCAACATTTTTGGGTCTTTTTTCTTTTGGGGTTTAAAAGCTATAAAGACAGAAATCAATTAAAAAAAGTTTAAATCTTTTAAAACAGGTTCTTCTGTTAGTATGCTTTTAGATTTTACCCTATAAGATTGTTCATAGCAGAAAATATAATCACAGATTTTGATTATTATTTTTTAAGAATCTATCTTGTTAGTACAATATAAGAGTGATTGTTGTAGTAAGCCCTGGCTTTTTGTCATTTTACTTTATCAATTTGATTTGCCGAATCTGATTTTTTATTATTTTATTTTGTTCTCTTAGGTTGTAACAATGGCTTTCTTAAGTAAATTTGGGAATATACTTAGGCAGACCACAAGTATGCAGATCAATGTCCAGTTATCTGCATCAAGACCTGGCCTCTTTCAAGTGTTTAGATGCATGTCAACCTCGCCAAGCTCAAATCTTTTTGTGGGAGGTGCATCCAATCTCCTTTCCACTGTTGCAATCAAACCATTTTATCTTCCCTTTCTTAGGGCTTCTTTTATTGTTTTTTATTGCAGGTATTTCACACCAAACAGATGACCAAAGTCTGAAAGAAGCTTTTAGCAAATATGGTGAAGTTATTGAAGGTATGCTACGATGAATGTATTACTGAATTCAATTTGCAACTGTCATGATGAAGGCGATTGAAAAGTCTTGAGGTGCCTGAATCTTATTCTCTACATTTCATGTGAAGTATCAATATTTTTGAGCATAAGACATATGCAGTGTGAACATTTAGGTGCCATCCATGAACTACTTTCGGAAATGATTAATTGTTGCTAATTTTGAGTTTGCCTATATCTGGATGCTTGTGCTGGTACTGTGCTAACAATTTTCCTCCTGTTGGTTTTTAATTATTGAATTCCAAAATTGTAGTTGAGTTTGTTTGCTTTTCGCTGGCTTTGACTTTGTAAAATTCTGATTAATTTTATATTTCCTGTAGCAAGAGTAATTGTGAATCGAGAAACTGGTAGGTCCAGAGGATTTGGCTTTGTCACTTACACTAGTACTGAGGATGCTTCCAGTGCAGTACAGGCCTTGGATGGACAGGTAATATAAGTATTTAGTTTTTTGAGGAATTACTTGTTACTTTGATATTGGTGGTCTGGAAATATCCACAGGTTGCTGCTGTTTCAGTAAACCTTATAGGATCCTAACGTATTTTACAATGAACAAGTGATCTTCATCTTTGAAATAAAAGCTGATTGTATCACGCTTCATTCAATAGCTATGGAATTGGCCAGAGTGCATTATTTAGTTACCTAAACATAAAGGGGGAAAATACAACATGGTCATAGGTGTATAAAACCCTTTACAAAGAGACCAAAACTAGACTATGATGCCCTTCTTTGCATTTTGTAATCCTCTTGGTCTTTTGTTCTTTTCATGGCGCTGGAACTATGGTGAAAGCTTTTTCATTGTGCTGGCAAATTGCATCTAGGCCCATTCCAGAAAATTTAAGCAGAAATCTATGTCTCTGTCAATCATCCACTTGTCAAAACTTGTAGATTTGAAATTATCGCATCTAAAATTTACTTAGATGTTAATGTTTACTCTGTCAAAATCACTGTCAGTATCTCAACAACATAGTGACTTGTCTGTCTTGGCCTCAATGTTAATGATATAACTGGTGTGCCCTTGCCATTGTATTTGTTTCACTTTCATATCTGCAAGTAACAAAAGAACTCTTAAATGTTTTCAGTCAGATGTGTTCTATTTCTTTGCTTTCTCCATTTCAGAGAAGTTCCACATTAAGTTTGCTTAATGGTCTCAACTTATGAATATCTTTCTTTACTTAAAAATTAAGTTATTTAGGCCTTAATTTGCATGTGTATGCTTAAGTAGTAAATTTTGGCGCATGGTCTTGGCATCATCTTTTTTGGGTTAATATGTCTGGTTTATATAAGAATGCTTGAAAAGAGTAGCTTTATCATCGCCGACCCTGTTGGATTTTGCGCAGGCTTAACATAATAGCTTTTGTTCTCATATCTGTAGTGGTGATTTGTGGGAGTTTTGGTTGATAGTTATTTGTCTGTCTGAACTCTTGTTGCAGGTTCTCCATGGCCGTCAAGTAAGAGTAAACTATGCAGTGGAGAAACCTCCTCGTAACTTTGGAGGTGGAGGTTTTAATAGCAGTTATGATGGTGGAGGCTATGGTGGTGGTGGCTATGGCGGTGGTAACTATGGAGGTGCTAATTATGGAGGCGGCAGCTATGGCAGAAATGCTGGAAATTATAGAGGTAATGTGGGATCTGGTAACAGTGGTGCCAATGATAACTATGGAGGCCAAGGAAGCTATGGTGGTGATAACTATGGCACTGGCGATGTTGGCTATGGAAGAAATTTTGGTCCATCTAGTGCAAACAATAATGACAGTGGGATTTTCAATGTTGCTGGTGCTGGTGGCGGCAGTGATAGTTTTGCCACTGCTGGTTCAGGTGGATATGGAGATGACAATATGGGATTTGGTGGTGGTGATCAACCCGGTAGTGCTGAAGATGGCTACAAAGAGGAAGCAGGAATTCTTGACCAAAATGATCCACTGAATGATAACTTCCGGAATGGGAAGGATGATAGCCAAAAGGGCATTAAATAAGTGTTTTCAGTTGTTTGATGGACAACTTGCTTCTACCCTGCATTAATAGTAGATTGTTATTGTTTTAGTTTTTAGTCATTTATCATCACTCTTCCTCTGAGCTAATTTTATTCGTCATTTTTGACTCTGGTCTCTGTAAACCTTGATACGTTTGAGTGTTTCTCAGAGAAAACTGAATATTCCTTGGAAAATTAATTCAAGTTACAGGCTGCTGCTTTATTTCCCACCCCTCTGTCTCTCTCACCCGGTCATGAAAATTCGTAGTATTTTATTTTTGACAATGACATTTTTTGTCATCCAACTACTAAAAAAAATTATCATTTTAGCCTTTCATCTTCTGTTGGAGTCAATTTTTCTCTATCTGATTGTATGTGGTCTTTTATTTGTATTCACTTCTTAAAAATAAAATTCAGCAATAGGAACGACTTCTTATGTTTTAAGTGTTAATCGAATAAAATGTTTGCTTGACTTCGAAGTATTCGCAAGTATTAAGAAAACTCCCTTAAATTTTCGAACTAGTATTGACATAAAAGGTGAAAGAAAATTGAAAACTAATGTAAGAACATTACTCCATTGTGAATTAAACTGCATTTCAGTATCCATCTTGTAAGGAATGCTCAGTCTTCCGTGGCACCCATTTCCTCTCTTAAATTTCAACTTCTTGGGGAGATCCAAAGACTCGATTGTCAGAAATGGAGGAATCCCAAACACATATCCACTATTTTCAAAAGTGGCTTGCTTATGCATTTTACTGTCCACCATTCCATTAGATCCGTTAGAAAAATCAGCGCTTGCTCTAGTGATTATTCGGCTTCCTTTAGTTATAAGCAATGGTCTCAAGATTGGTGTTGATGGTGATGGAAGGGAACCAAATATGTGCTATTCCATTTTAACATGTTGCATATATAGTTGAGCCATGAGGCGACTAAGGAACTTAGAGGCTTAAGTGGATGTACATATGAATATTCAATTTTGAGAGAGCTTCTTTTCCTCACGGGCTCATTAAAAGAGTCCATTCTAGTGATGGAAGGTTTAGCAGAATTAGCACCACTATCAGCACCAGGCCCCTTTCCACATTGATCTTCTCGTAGGTTTTCATTTGTCAAGAATCCAGGTGCTAAACTTGATAGAGAAATTAAATTGCAATCTGTGTGATTTCCCACACTTCCCACCTTTTCACTGTCAAATCCACTAGAGGAATCCAATTCTGCATGCAGTTGAAGCTGCATTTAGTCCATAAATATCTGAAACTTTCCTACCTGAAATCTCTCTTGCATCTGAAGAAACGTCTTCCTGGAGTTTCCTTCTTCGAGCCAATTTGCGGAAGGGACCCTTTCAGCCTTTCCGATCCTTGAATCCACAGGAGAATCCTCTGGAAAGCCATTCCTATCCCTAGGAAGATTTTGCCAATATTTACCAAAATATCCAGCAGCAGCTGCTGCTGCAACAAGCCATGAGTCCATTTCCGCTCGTCCACAGAAATTTCAGAAACTAACCAAGTTCCACACTTCCCACCCTCATTACCATATGCACCCAAAATGAAGCTGATATAATGGCTTTCCTTTTCCTTTTTCCTTTGAGAATCAGTTAAAATTGTGAAGCAAAATCTAGCAGACTCAAGTTTGAAAGAAGATGCATTGTTATTGTTGAATATTTGAGATTGGATTCCTTGGAAGAAAAAGAAAGACCCGTTGCACTGTTATCTGCACAGGCTACATTCATCTGCATCCATTCCTCTTACTACCATAATTTTATTTTTTGTGGACCAACTGGCCCGAGCAAGGCCACCAACTGGCCTACTTTCCGACATGAAAAAATGGACCCACTGAATTTCGTAGTTTTTTTTTTTTTTTGTCAAAAGGCAAATGCATGTGATGTGCCTTTGCAAAGAACTAATCACTTTGTAATTTCTATAAATGAGAAATGAGAATAATAGGACTGACTGTGACTGAACTTTGTCCTTTGATATGATCGCCCTTTGACAGGGAGGAGAAAACAAGGTTTGCTTGGTAGGATTTTTATCAAATCTATTTCTACCAAGTATCAACCAATTCTCCCTCCAATTTTACCTTCACACTTGGAGAGTAATTAGATAACCTAATTTGGAAAATACAAACATGGAATACATATATTTATATTAATAATAAAATCTTTCATTGAGTTGATATTTATTGAGACCAATTTAATTAAAAAATTATAAAAAATTAAAAATATAATAAAATCTAGCAGACTCAAGTTTGAAAGAAGATGCATTGTTATTGTTGAATATTTGAGATTGGATTCTTTGGACGAAAAAGAAAGACTCGTTGCACTGTTATTTGCACATGTTATAGGTCGAGACTTAAGCTTCAACCCGCACGACTCCGAGATCGGAGCATTCGCCCTTTCGATATCCCGAATCAGCCTGACTGTCACGGTTCACATTCTTATGAGGTATTGTCCACTCTAGCCCCATGACCTTACGGTTTTGTCCTACAAAAGGAGCTTCACAAGGAAGAGGTGGTGTAAACCTTTTTATACTCCAGTGACCCTCCTATTATGTTCGATGTGAGATTCATAACTCTTTCTTAAGTCCGTGACATTCTCCCGCACCCAATCTCGTGACCCCCTCGTCACAGAGGCTGGCCACCCTGCCTACCCCCATCGAGGTGCTTGGCGTGGATCGAACGGTTTAGGGTTGACTCTAATATTACTTGTCATGGGTCAAGACTTAAGCTTCGACCCGCGCAGCTCCGGGACCCGAGCATTCACCCTTTAGGCGTCTCGGATCAACCTAATCGCCACGGTTCACACCCTTGTGAGGTATTGTCCGCTCTGACCCCCTGACCTCATAGTTTTATCTTACAAAAAGTGCCTCACAAGGAAGAGGTGGTGTGAACCCTTTTATACCCCAGTGATCCTCCTATTATGTTCGATGTGGGATTCAAGACTCTTCCTTAAGTCTGTGACACACGGGCTACATTCATCTGCATCTATTCTTCTTACTACCATAATTTTATTTTTTGTGGACCAACTAGCCTGAGCAAAGCCACCAACTGGCCCACTTTTCGAAATGAAAAAATGGACCAACTGAATTTCGTAATTTTTTTTTTTTTTTATCAAAAGGCAAATGCATGTGATGTGCCTTTAAAAAGAACTAATCACTTTGTAATTTCTATAAATGAGAAATGAGAATAATAGGACTGACTGTGACTGAACTTTGTCCTTTGATACGATCGCCCTTTGACAGAGAGGAGAAAATAAGGTTTGCTTGGTAGGATTTTTGTCAAATCTACTTCTACCAAGTATCAATCAATTCTCCCTCCAATCTTACCTTCACACTTGGACAGTAATTAGATAACCTAATTTGGAAAATACAAACATGGAATACATATATTTATATTAATAATAAAATCTCTCATTAAGTTGGTATTTATTGAGACCAATTTAATTAAAAATTACAAAAAATTAAAAATATAATACAAATATGAAATAAAAAAAATTATCTTTTTAAAATTTTATTTAAAAATTTTTAAAAATTATCCAATTTTTTTTTCTGTTTATACAGTCCTATTATCTCAAAAAAACATGTTTCTCTGTGTCAGAGCTGTAGATGATTTGATAATGAAATTTACAAAGTTAGCATGTCAAATATATATATATATAGGAAGAATCAAAGAAACACAAATCATTCATTAATTAGAACGACAAAGAAAGACTGTTATCAATCTTTTACATGAAATCCAATCTCCCATTGAAGAAGCTTGAATCATCGTCATTATTGAACGTTCCAAACCCTTTCAAACTGCTTCCATTTCCAATCCTGTCAAGCTCTTTCTTCTCAATATAATCAGCTTTCACAATCCCCATTTCGGCCACCGTGGCGTACGCTTGCTCAAGCTCACCACCATCCCTTTGTGCGACGACATCCTTAGCAAACTGTATGATCTTTGGAACCAATAACTTGCATACACCATCATCAAACCCTAGGCTCAAAAGCATGTTCTCAATATATTACTCGCATACTTCCATGAAAAAAAAAATATCATCGTGTTAGGAAAGTGGGATCCAGTCTCATGTAATTAGATTTGGATTAATCAAAAGGTATAGGCTTTGGTCTTTCTTTTTACACAGAACCTAATTACTTAATAAAAGAAGGTGCAGCCACAAACCTAAAAAAAATAAGGAGAAAAAAAAAGCCAAGAAAATAGAGAGAAAAAAAAAGAAGAGAAAGTTGGTTGAATGAAAGTCGATCCGTGGTCCGATTGAGTTAAAATTTTATCAACAGATTTATGATTCAGAATTTTACATTTTGTACAATGAAGATCGGATTTGAAGTTCTCTAGGAACAAATTTATGGTGTATTTGTTGAGTCACATATTTGGTGAGATTTTTTCAATTATCTCTCTAATTGTTGATTAGCTCTAGTTTTAGCTAGAGAAGAACTTTGTATATCATTATTTGATAGTGGATTTTTTTCTTGTGATCCGTGATTTTTTTCTCTACACTGAAGGATTTTTCATGTAAATTTTAATGTATTTTATTTTTCTTGCATTGTTGATTGTTGGTTGTTGGTTGTTGTCTATTACTGTAGATTTATTTCGATATATTGTTTCTGCATTATTGTGTTTGTTGCTTCAGGCCCAACGAGTGATATCAAAGAGAGGGTTATTTTTTAGACATTGATACAGAAGCAGCACAAGACAGAAGTAATTCTATTTGAGATCACAAAGGGTGATACAGGTTTTATGATAAAATTGATAATATCAAATTATTCAATTTAAAAGCCTATGATGAAAGATTATTTATACTGTAAAGATTTGTATGAGCCCATATTGGGTGATTCGACTAAACCAACAAATATGAAAGATGAAAGCTGTAAGAAGTTAGGCAGAAAGACGTTGGTTACAATCAAAAAATAAGTTGATATCAGCTTGTTTCATCATGTAGTATAGAAGACAGATGCCTACACTATTTCAGAAAAATTGATAGCATAATATGAGAGAAAAATAGGTATGAATAAAATTATGCTTGTTAAAAAACTTGTAACTTTATAGTACAAGGATTGACGATCAATTATAGAGTACTTTAGTGATTTTTAAGATATATTTAATTGGATGACTACTATGAAGCTTAAGATGGATGATGAAATGAAAGCATTATTTCTTTTGGGTTTATTGCTAGATAGTTAGAATACTCTAGTTGTGATTATTCTTAATTTAACTTTTAATTACAAAGTGACATTGGAAATGGTAAAAGACAATATGCTTAATGAAGAAGCAAGGTAAAAAGATTCAGACCTTG